GCTGTGAATCAAGCTATAAACGTACGACGTTCTCTCCTTTCGCTCGTTGCTTCCTTAAACATTGGGCCTCACATGTCGTTATTGATGTAGAATGGAACGACGCCGCTGAAGATTGCTGCACAGAACGGACACGACATCGTCGTCCAGACGCTCCTCAACGCCAACGCAGCTGTGAATCAAGCCGAAAACGTACGCTGCACCGCTATAGAAGTTTCAAATTCTGTCTGTGTATCAACAGGTTGTGTTATAGGACGGTGACACCCCACTTATGATCGCGACACGACACGGTCATCTCGATGTAACGAAATGTCTTCTCGACGCTGGCGCAGACGTGAACCAGAGTCTTCAAGTCGGCTTCAGTGATAAAGGCCAGAGCATCTTGGTACAGGATCTAATCTACGACGACGGCCTTCATTTCCTTGTAGGCGGGTGCAACGCCGCTTCTACTGGCCGCTCAGTTTGGCCACGACGATGTGACTCGCGCCTTATTGCGTCGCCACCCCAACCTCCAAGCCACCGATGCCGTACAAGATGGAGATTTCCCACCGCCGAGATTATTTATCGTGCTGATTAGGACGGCAACACGGCGCTCTCGATGGCCATGCAGCGTGGGCACGCGACTATCGTCCGTCTTCTGCAAGAGTATATCAGCACCAACCCGGGTGTACGCGCCATTGATTGCTTGCATGAAGTTTAATTCATGCTCTTTTCATAGGCTCAACCAACTCCAGCCCACGAATCTGTCAATGAGAAGAAGAAGATGGAGCTTTTGCAAGCAGTGGTCGCGGGCCATGTTGCTGCCACCAAAGCACTTTTGGATCAAGGCGTAGATGCGCGCGTCACGAACGAGGTGTTCAGATTGAGTTTGACGTTCACACACTCACGCCCAACACGTAGGATGGCGACGGTCTTCTGCACCTTGCGGTGCGCCATGGCCACACGCAGCTGCTCCAGATGCTCTTACGCCGCTCCGACGCGTCATTGGTCGTCTGCAACAAGGTATAACACTTCGGCTTGTGCCTATGCTTCCCCATACGTGTTCAGGATGGCGAGACGCCTCTGGTGCTCGCGATCAAGCTGCGTCATCGCCGGTCCCCGCACTTAATTTACAACGCCACTCATCAAATCGCTGACGATGTACTACGTCATGATGAGGTCGTGCACTTGAACGATCCTAGGTGCCAGAGACGGCGATCCAAGTCGATACAAGAGGCCTCCTCGGCGACGGCGGCTTTGGCTACGTGCACAAAGGCTTGTACAAGAACGAGCGCGTCGCGATCAAGTCGGCTAAATACGCGGCCGGCGCGGCGGAGCTTCACGCCGAAATCAACGTCATGCAAACGTAGGATGCTTCTTCATCTTTCTCAATCTGAACCTCAATTTTGGGTTGCACTAGGTGCAACTCGCCGTATTTGCTGCAGCTCAAGGCGGTCTCGGGGCAGTACAGTGACAACCCCAAGCTCGTGCTCGAGTACATGGACGGCGGCAACCTCCGCCAGTACCTCGACAAGAAGCGCAAGGGCGAGTCCGTTCCGTTCGACTACTCGACGCTCGATATTGCGTGGGTCATTGCCAACGCTTTGGCCGACCTCCACCGGAATGGCTTTATGCACCGTGACCTCAAGAGCCTCAACGTCTTCCTATCCTCCTCCAACTACATCAAGGTGGCCGACTTTGGCCTCACAAAGGAGTTCAAGCTCGACATGACGACGTGTGTGGGGACGCCGGCGTGGATCGCACCCGAAGTCTTTGCTTCGGGAGCCACGTACGACTACGCGGCCGACATTTACTCGTTTGGCGTCATTTTGACCGAGCTCGAGACGCTCCAGGTGCCGTATGCTGGCATGAACCTCTTTGCGATCGTCGACGGCGTCCGCAGCGGCGAGCTGCGTCCGTCGGTGAGCTCCAAGTGTGCGCCGTGGTACAAGGCGCTGGTCGACGACTGCTTGTCGTTTGATCCCAAGAAGCGTCCGATGGCGCAGACGATCATTGATCGTTTGTTGCTGCAGGAAAAGGCTCTTGCGGATCGAGAGCCGGTCACCGAGCCCGAGATCAAGACCGAGCGTCTGGTAACGCTGCCGCAACTGACAAAGGGCATGAGCAGCAGCTCGTCCACCTCGGTACGATGCATCCATTGTGTATTGAGAGTGCTTGTCTGGTTACCCTTTGGATCTAGTCGACGTCTTCGTCCTGGTCGTCGGGGGCTCTCACCAGTCGTCTGCCGTGCCCAGCATGCAAGACGCGGAACGCAGCTTTGAACGATCACTGCAGCAGCTGCAACGGGGCCATGCCGGACGTGTCGGCCAAGCTCACGCTCTTGCTCAAGCGCGCCAAGGTGGCCAACGCCAAGGGCTTCTCGATCAACCTTTGCATCGACTGCGACATTTGCGAAATGACCAACTTGATGACGGCGGCGACGTGCGCAGATCCCGAGTGTGGCGAGGAGCTTCTGGACGACGCGGAGAAGCTGCGCATCCTCTCCCGTCGCTTCGACCTCGCGACCAGCGCGGCGTAAGGTCGTCCATCCATTTTAGCGAACGTGCCTACGTTCTGCGTGCTGGTCCTAACTGCACCATACTTGGGTTAACCTCGTGTTTTCTTGGGGCAGGTTTTGGTCGAGCTCTTTGGTTGAGGTTTTTGCATTGGGGTAGCGTGCAATCTAGTGGTAGGTTCGTGTCGTTGCTTGGACGGCGTGGACGCATCAAATTGTGGGTGCATAGAATCATGTGCATTTGCGTTTAACGTTGCACAGTCAGCACACCCTGCCCAATGCATTCACATGGCAAATGTGTGACATATCCGAGACTCGAGCATCGAAACATCTGCAAACGAGGGCATTAGGTACATGAATGATAATGGAATACTATCGACACTATACACTACGTGATCGGCTGCGCCGCGCGCCACTGCTCGAGGAGCGTCGCCATGGTCGCACACGGTGTCGCCAGCACATCGTCGGGCGTCCCCAGCGCTGCCACGCGTCCGTGCTCCAAGACGAGGACGCGGTCGGACGTCAGGATCGTGTTGAGCCGATGGGTCACTGTGAGCACCGTGCGATCGGCGCACTCGGCCCGCACCGCCTGTCCCAAGAGCTTCATCGGGATCTCGCGGCACAACGGACGTACCTCTTGGAGAGCATAATCTTTCGGTGTCGCCCACGACGCAGCCGCGGGCTCGTCCAGACACACGATCGCAGCGTTTTTGAGCCAAATGCGCGCGCAGCAGAGCAGCTGTCGCTCGATAACGGTATAGTTGCGGCCGCGCTCCGCCACGGGCTCGTCTAGAGACGCAACCATGCTCACGAGCTGGGCGCGGCGCAGCGCTGCCCAGAGCCGGTCGTCGCCAAAGACGCCAAACGGATCCAAGTTGCTGCGCACCGATCCTAGTATCAATGTATCAATGTAGCAGAGAAAGTGAAACAATCGCGATACCTGAAAAGAGGATCGGGTCTTGGGGAATGTACGCGACTTGGCGCCGGGCGTCGTGCAGTCCCATCGATGCGATGTCGACGCCATCGACGCGAATGACGCCGGCGTCGAGTTCAAGCAATCGGAGGAGTGCTATCACGAGGCTGCTTTTGCCCGACCCCGACGCGCCCACCACGCTAATCTTCTCGTGGGCGAGAACGTCAAACGAGAGGTGTGTGAGTGCCGGTGCCTGATGGGGCTGGTAGCGCACTTGGACGTTTTCAAACGTCAGGCGACCGCGCTTGTCGGTCTCGGGAATACGAGGCAAGAGGTCGCTTGTCAGCGGCGCTTCCATTGGGAGGTTGTCGTAACTCTCAAGTCGCTGCAGCGTAGCATGGGAGGCTTGGACTTGGGCCAGAACGCGCAGAGCCCAATGGAGCGTCGGTGGCAGCTGCAGGGCGTAGTAGAGCGCCATCGCCACC